AGCCTCTAATTTTAAACGTTGTCTAGAGAATTACACATCAAGCCCCCATGAAAAGGACCATCTATTGGAATTGTTTCCCAACACCTTCTCCACCTTTTACATAAATAAATAGAGTAGATGTTGTCGTGGTTCTGTTTAGTAATAAATCGCAGATGACATCAAATTGTGCTTAGAACTGAAAAAAGAGACTCAGACGAGTATGTCAGTGGTGTTTTTCGCACAGTTTGACGAAGAAAATTTAGCTTTGTCGGAGCACACGTGCCTAAATAACCATACAATTGGGTGAGATGAATCTAAAACTATTACCACTAATCGACGTCACCAGCGCCTTTGTTTGGAAACCGGCATCTCAACTCCGCCCACGCTCGTTTCAATCGTGACGATGGCGGTTTACTACCTGACGCCTATTTACACCTCGTCAGAAAAAAAGGGCAGCGAATTAGTGAGCATATAAAAGGACCTCTTGTTGCAGTGATTACATCACCCCCGATGAAGGCACTAGACAGGAGTGTGCATCAAACCGTGTCTGATTTAAAATTCAGCAAAGTGTTGTTGAATAAATTTTGTTGGACGAGAAATACAGTAATTTTCGATGGAAAGGTCAAAGTCGAAACTTATATCAAGATCATTTTCCCGATACGGCTCAAGTAAAGTCGATGTCCATAATAGTGGGCATAACATCTGTTTATAGTCACGGACATTTGTCCCATTACTTTGAAATGTTTGTTACCTGCAACTTTTGACTTGTTCTATTCACCTCGCTCCCCGCTTATGTTATTGCTAGGGACTTGTCCTACAATCAGTTGCAGTTTTTGCCTCGAGGGATACTTAGCAACAACACCAACCTAACAGAACTGTAAGTAAAACTAATTGTAAAAAAAAAAGAAAAAAAAAAAGAAAAGAAAAGAAAAGCAAAGTTACAGGTACAATATAGATAATTAATCGGCAGATGAATTGATGCAATAAGTAGTGCTATTTGGTTTTAGATCTCAGAATGCGTACGGTGGGCCTACATTAATTATTGTCTCAAACGAAACGTCTATCAGTTTACTGCATGGAGTTATTTTTTCACTAGGTGAATCTGCTACATATTGGTTATTCTTGGCCATTGTTGTTGTGGGATCAGGGGTATCGGGGTATCTCCATTCGCCCAATTTAAATCTAAAAACACGTTGCGGTGTACAACTGGTTGGCTCGTTTGGCTCTTGTTTAGCTCACACCAGAAGACCTAAGGGGCGGACTCTCAGCCCATTCTTAAAATAGGATTTAAGTTCTTTAGTTGTTATTTAGCTTACTTTTGTCTCGATATATACTCTAAGGAATTTGTCAAACAACAAAATTCAGCGTCTGCCCATGGATATTTTTGGCAACCTCACTCAGATGAAAAGGCTGTAAGTGACATTCCGTACAAACTCCACAGCAAAGGGAAATATAATGCACAGTTTCTCATAGCGCTTACAGCAAACTTGCATTTTGACCTTTTAAAAACAGAGCTTCGCGAATTTGGATTTTGGTATTATTTCAAGTTGCATATGAAAGTGAACTCCATATGCTCAACTGGCTTTAAATAATGCTAACTTTGGTGGCTTTGGTAATCAAGAACAATTGAAAGAAAGAGGTCAATATTAAATTCAATTGTCTCACACAGCCTTTATTTTCACGTAACTTGTGACTATAAGTTTTTCGCTGACTAAGCAGGGAACTCCGTTAAGATTGATTTGTAATGTAAGCGACCTATCGTAGTTTGGTGCATCAGTACCGAAAAGTGATCGCATGAGATGAAAACGACCATGTTAACAATGCACGTGCAAATGGTATCTTTTACCTAAATTCTCAGCATCAGGAGTAAACAGTTTATGTGCTTAGCAAAAATGTGTAAAATTTTATAATTCC